GTGTTGTAACTCTCCATTTCAGATGCCTAACTTTCAAAGTCTAAAATCACAGTTGTACAGACATGCGTTTCAGTGGCTCTGTATATTAAAAAAAAGCAACAGAATTCAACAAAACTGAACAAAAAAGTTAGAAATAAGTGAATACATAATTTTATACTTTCCATAACAACCTACTCTAACTCTGGAGATTTCTATTAGTTGCATATAAAACAAAGAACTAAATATACCCAAGTTGTATCGAGTTCTTACTCAAGATACATGAAAGCATGTAAAATCAGCATTTTTTTTAAACATTCAGCAAAGACTATCATAGAGCTTATAAATTACTGATTACTGAAGATATCCTGTGAAGTCACTACATTATGGATTATAACAGAAATTAACATCTGCATTTTTCAGGTTAGACATATACTTGCTAATCTCAAAGAGACCTTTCAAATCCACTAAATGTCTTCAAAAGGGAAAACACTCAAAGCAGTTCTGTATTGTCTTTCAGACTGGAGATAAAACACTGCATGAAAATTTAATAGACTGTACTTGAAAGGGAGAAACTTCAACTGATTTTTTCTTTTTATGCCAAAAGTATCTCCCACCAACTACAAAAACAGTGTACACACTGATTATGACAAACTCCCCCTTCCCTGCAACCCAGGCAAACTCTCCTAGAAGCACCCATTTGTTTGTGGCAGAGCAGCTGCTCAATCTCAGTTGTAAACTAAGTAAAGCAAATGGCCCACTAAACTCCGCAACTGCTGAGGAATTCACAGCTTGTATCAAGCAATATGAGACTGCAGCAATCTGTATGAGGATATTAGGTGGGGCAACCAGTTCCACAAAGGCTGCAGAAAGAAATTTCCGGATTTGGGTGTTGATGCATGAGAAAGGCTGGAGTACGAAGGACTTGGAAGGAAGATGCATAAAGGTGTGAAAATAGCAGTATGAGAATGGAAGAAGCAGAGAATCACAGGACTGGGGAAGTGAGGATGTAGAAAAGTGTGGATAAAAGAGGAAAACATACAAGCTAAGGTCCAACTTTCTCTTCTAAGAATAGATAAAAAGAAATATTAATGATGCTCAACCATTCTAGGTTTAATCAAATGTAGTACTTTATGAGTCTGACCTTGGCTGCAAAAAACTCTGTTACAGTTTTCTGTGTTTTTCTCATGACAAATTTCTTGTCAAATAAAAATTACAGTGAAAGCACATGCATTTCCATTACATTGAATAATTCTAGACATCCCAGGTAGAGCTCTGACATTCCAAAAAATTGTATAGACAGCTCTAAATTTGTCTAAAGCTTATTCAAGATGCTGATACAATTCAAAACACCTATGATAGCTTCATATTTTTTCATTTTAAAGCTTTTTCAACCAGAAACACGTGGACAGTAATGAAGACATACATCTTTTAATTAAAAGGTTAAAAATATGTTAAAAAAACCCAAGGCTTTAAGCTATTATTAACATCTAAATTAGCACTAGGTATTGCACAGCTAGTGCTGCAGGATGAATGTCTCCTTGCAGACAGCAGTTGTAGGCTGACATCACTTCGGGGCACATCCATATTTTGATCCAAAATGAACAATGCAGCAACTCCCCCACTATCTGTCACTTCCCTGCTTATTGTTCTGGCTCTCCTAACCTGACTGGTGACAGTGAGTGGAGCAAAACCTTAAGCTCACTGATGCAGTGACTAAGTCTGATGGACAACGAAACTGATTTTGTAAAGGAAAAATTTTGTAGGAAAGATGTGGGCAGGTATGGAAGAAAATGTATGCAATCCAAGAACACAAGGACAGCATATATGGTGCAGAGAATGTGGAAGCAGGAACAGGATCACTGGGGATCATCAGCCAGAGGCTGATTCTGGAACAGATGATCATTCTGGAAGATCTCAATCACTTAATTTGTCTTACGGACTGGATGTCCAACCACTCTTTTTTTCTATCCTTTGCCCTTGATTGACTCTTTATTCACATGAGGAAGATAATGACAATGGAAAAAAAAGGTGTTCAGAAATAAGCATTAAAAAAAAAAAAAAGGCAACAGAAGTTTAACACTGGGCATTCTGTCTCTAAGATAAAAATGGAGCTGAGATCTTCTGGAACAGTGATGCATTTCAGGAAGCCAGAATCTTCTCCAGTTGGCAGTACTGATGCTCCTCTTCCTATCTTTCCATTCTCTTTGCCATATTATACTACACTGTCTTAGAGTATTTGTGAGCACTTAAATCCCTGCCTACATTATCCCTCTACCACAAAGTCTTCTACAGCAAGAATCTCTTTGCTATCCATCATAGCAGCGTCTCTTCATAGCAATGTCTCTACACACTTTTCAGGAGTGTACTTTACAATAAAAATTAGGGCATATAAAAATATTAGGCCTATATAAAACACCATTTATTTAATCTGGTCCTGGAGATGTGAATTGTGATCTACTGTTACCACAGACAAAAGCAGAATTCCCCAGACATGCACTATGCATAGAAAGGAGCATGCAGTAAAACCCAGGAGATCACAACAACTAGCTGTGTCCTGGGGTGCATCAGGCACAGCACTGACAGCTGGGCAAGGGAGGGGATTGTCTTGCTCTGCTCTGCACCTCAAGTGCTGGGGGCAGTTTTGGGTACCAAAATATAGGTATATTAAGCCACTAGAGAGTTCCAAAGGAGGGCTATGAAGATGGTGAAGGGCCTTGAGTGGAGCCTGTATGAACAGCTGCTGAGGTCACTTGGTCTGTTCAGCCTGGAGAAGAAGGAACTGAGGGGAGACCTCACTGCAGTTACAACTTCCTTGTGAGGGGAAAAGGAGGGGCAGGCACTGACCTCTTCTCTCCTCAGTGATATGGAAATGGCCTGAAGTGTTTTCTGGGGAAGTTGAGGTTGGATATCAGGAAAAGGTTCTTTACTCAGAGGGTGGCTGGGCACTGGAATAGTTCCAGGGAAGTGGTCACAGCACCAAGCCTGATAAGAGTTCAAGAAGCATTTGGACAGTGCTCTTGGGCACATGGTGTTACTCATGGGGTGTCCTGTGCAGGGCCAGGAGTTGGACTTGGGTCCCTTCAACTAAGGATATTTTACAGTTCTGTGCCTATGGCAGTCAGAGTCAGATATACTTACTTGGTACTATGAGATTGCTTGAAATGCTTTCAAAATTAAATGCTGCACCTATGCCCACTATATTCATATTGGTGTGTATATGACAATATTTTCATATATATTTAAAATTACCAGAAACTTAGCCTGCCCCTGAAAGGACATATTCTTCCTTATCCTTTCATGATACATGCATTTGCACAGTTGCTCCATAGCCTAAACCAGCCACTTTTGGAAAGGTAAATTAATTAGGATTACTGCATGGCTGCAGATGACAGCAGCAAAAGGTATTAAATACACCATTCTGGTCTTCAGTGCAAAAAAAAAAAAAAAAAAAAAAGACCAACACTGTAAGGAACTTCAGCAAACTGATATTGGTAACACTGCTGCCAACTGAATCAACCAATGAGAGAAGAAATGAGCACAAAGACAGCAGAGACAGCAGATCAGTGCAGCCAGGTCTAAAGCTAGAGAGAAGCAGGTAATTCTACTGGTTTTGAATCCTGGACTGAACTAAGTGCCTTGGATCTAGGTGCTGCAAAATAGAGTCCAGTGGGTCTGGAAAGTAAACTGGGACAAAGGAATAGAATAGAGACAGCATTAAGGAGTCAAAAGTGGAAAGAGGGACACTGCTCTGGATTACAAGCTCAAAATTAATGGAAACCCCCAGGCCTTATCAGGTTCTCATTTTTCAAACATAGGCTTTTTCTATTTTTGTTTTAGCACATTGTGAAGAAGAAAATGGAAGAATATCCCACAGGCAGACAGTGAAGTCTGCACTGCATGAAATTATATTTGAGGTTAAATGGGCCTTCACAGATTCTTTAAACCAACCAAGTAGTTTCATCCTAAGTCTCAAGACCTAAGTTAAACTGTACAAAAACCTTTTAATCTGTAAACCTCACTTCACCTGGCACAGACTTTTACATGCATTCTGCACAGCTTTTTGCCTAGATGCTATAATGCTCTCCTTGTCTTGATCCTGATGGTACAAAATCCTGTCATTAGCAAGTAGAAGATTTATTGACCATTTTAATCAACAGACACACTTTTCACTTCACAGCACATTTAAAATGAAATAAGCAGTAACACAGCATCTTCTCTAACATAATAAGTGAATAAAGCAATGTAGGTGATATAAAATGCAGAATCACTGAAAATTTTAATGCTACTGACTTAGAGCCATCCCCTTTTGAATATCTGGTAAGTAAACATGTGCAAGGCATTCATTTTTATCTCTTTATTTTATAATTCCTCCAGAGAGACAATGACAATATCACATTTACTACTACCATTCTTTTGCACTGACTACAGGTATCAGTTGAACAGAAGAGAAGCTACAATACCTTGTTCCTGGAAGTTATAATTTGCTTAATAACAATTCTGTCTGCTAGCACCAGCACCTTTGTGACAGAAGAAAGCAATAACCTTGCAGCTTTTACCACACCCGTTTTGTCTGTAAAGATTGTTATGTGGCTATCAGATTCTGGATGATCCAAGCTTGCCACATCTGTAAGCTGTGCAATTGTTTCACCTAGAAGGAAAAAAAAAAAAATAAAGTGACTTTCCATACTTAGAAGAAAGATACTGGGCTATTAAGCTTAACTTTTACCTTTGAGGGATAAGACAATTTCAGAGCTATCTACAACGCTTTTTATTTCACTTTACTTCCTTCAACTGACTGCTGGTGGCACCCTCTCCATATTTAAATGTGGATTACTATTCACTGCTACCTTATTCTTCCATCTGTAACATACACTAATTTGCTTACAGTAATCTACAGCTATTTGAGGGGGGAGTGATGGGCAGAATTAGGGAGTGTGGAGGGAGAAAACATTCATGGGAGGTATTTTTCTGATTTTAATAGCCAAAGTCACACCAGTATTCACACTTGCAGCATCAATCCACTGAAATAGTGGGATGCAGCATGGAAGAAAGAACTATAACTCCCTTCCACTTTCCAAATTTCAATTAGCGTTCCTGTAATTTATAGGTTTCCTATTCCTTTAGAAGTTTCCAGGCATGAATAATAAAGAGATTCCAAACCATAACTTTACAACTTGGAGGACTGAAGCATTATAGTGAGACTACTGCACTTTACATTCAAAGGAGGGCCACTGAACAGGGCACTGTCAGAAACAGGAGAGGAAAAAAGGTAAGGAAGCACTGATTTTTGGTTCATGACCATCTTTTTATTCAACTTGGGTTTGATTAACTAGATATTTGAAAAGGTTTAATTGACCACTTTCCTTTTTTATGCAGGTAAAAATATATCCACTGCAGCTAATGGATTTCCTTATCTGTGAAAGAAACACAGACCATATCTAACTGAATCTTCTGGAGTGCCCTAGATAGTAGTGCCATACAGGAAAGACAGAGCAATATGTAACCAGAAAAGGGCTGCTGGGAGACTGAGATCAGGCAAGCTCTGAGACATGATTTTTGTTAGCATGCAAGACAAGATGACCAACCTACAGCTGACCTATAGATCATCCTTAAAGATCAAATCTAGGCGATTTGATCAAATTCTATATGACTCATTTGCAGAACCTCAACAAAGGTAATCCACCTAAGCAGGCAAAATACTCCAAAAGCCTGATAAAGCTAGTGCTCTCCTTTGAAGAAGTGCTGGCACTCCAGAAATACCACACTATACAGAACAAGGAAGGCCTGACAGTCCTTCAAACTACAGAGCTCCACATTTCATAGTGCTTCTCTCCTCTGATACTTGTAATCCCTTGGGTTCTTAAGCTGCCAAAATAGTATTGCATTATGGAAAGGAACTTCCAGTACATTTGCTGGGACCAGGCCAGGTCACAAAAGTCATGCTCCAAATAATCAGAGTCACCCAAATATACTGTACTATAGTACAGTCAGAGACGGTGAGTTCCACAGCTGAAGGCCCTGGAAATGGACAGAAGCAAGAGGACTTATAGAAGTACAGCTGCAGTTCAAAGAGTGAGGGGCAGCCAGAGGTACTCCCAGTGAAGCTGTAGGACAAGCCTCCAGTCAAGTAAGGAGATTATTTGACAGTAAAACACACTGGCTATTGCATTCTCCACAGTCCAATTCATTTCACTGCACACCAGTCTCTACTTGTTCACCTTTGTCAGCAGATTAACCAATTTTTGTGATATCACAATACCCATGACAACATGAAATGCTGTAGAATCCCACAGAGAACAATTAAAACAGATGCAAAGTTCTTTTGGTAACCAAGAGAAGATGAACACCATTATCCCATTTCTTATGCTATGGGATTCACCTTCTTGAGGATGAATCAAGTCATAGGTGAAGCAGCTAGTTACACAAAGAGTTATCAGAGAACACTGAAACACCTGCAACATCTGCCTGTCAAAAGCTCCAGATAGCCATAGAAACTCAAGACTTCTGGCTTCCTTCTCTGCCTATAGATCTGCAACTATAAGAACAGGAATTAAGCCCTGGGAGTAAGCTATGAGGAGCAAGACCTCTTAGAGTAAAGAGATGGAGCTGGAGAAGCTATACCCAGATGGATGTACACCAGTCCATAAAACACATCTGAGCATATCAAAGAAACAGTTTAGTGTCACTGCAATTCCCCTACCATGACTGAGAGATTATGACAATTGGGTGGTATTTCCAATGATAGAAAGACAACTGTCACATCCATGTCAAAGAAGGTTTACAAGAAAAAAAATCAGGTTATTGTGGGCTAGTCAGCCTCCAGGATTAACATTAAAATAATCTTGGAAGACATTACCACATTAAGCAGAAAAAAGCAATTAGGAAGAACAATCACAGACCTGCCAAGGTGAATAGTCCCTTATTGATCTGAGTGCCTTCTGCGATGAGATGACACTGTTTTCAAAAAAAGAAAGTAACAAATGCTGTGCATCTCAGCTTCAGCATGGCTCCTGCTATGATGTCCCATAGTTTCCTTATAACTTCATCATATGGACTAAGTGAACAAAAAGGTGGGTAGAAAATGAACCTGACTGTTGGGCTTGGGGATGTTGATAACGGGTACAAAGTTCACTGGGCAGTCAACTTCCAGTGGTGTACCTCTGGGACTGACAGGAGTCATCAAAACTATTCCCTGGATGATGAGTCAGCATGCTCAGCAAGTGTGTGAACAATATCAAAGTGGGTGAGTGTCTGATACTGTGGAGGGCAGGACTGCTAGACAGAGGAACAGGCTGAAAAATAATGATCTGATAGAAAATCTGGGAAGTCCAAGGGCAGTAAATACCACATCTGGGCCAGGGTAACCATCAGCCCTACAGGCTGAGATCAGATGTTAACAGGGAATCTTCGTGGGGAAAGACATGGGAGGCCAACAAAGAGTTGAACAGGAGTCAGCAATAATGGCCAGCTGCATGTGGAAGGCTGCAGAAAGTATTCTTCCATTCCTTCTGGCACTTGTAAGCCAGCATCTGGAGTACTGTGTCCACTTCTGGGCTCCTCAACACCTCAGCTGACACAGTGGAGTCAGTGACATAAGGGGAGAGCTTGAAGGGGGGAAGTTATTCTGCCCCAAGACGAGAAGGTCAGTGGCAGAGTTTTCTGTGCTCTACATCTATCCCCGCAGGGGGCAGGCATGGAGAGATGCAGACAGACTGATCCCAGTAGGTATGGTGATGGAACAAGATGTAAGAAAATACTTTTGCCACAGCAGAGGTGGTCAAACACCCTTAAGCAGGGGCAGAAGAAAGAAGTAAGAAATGAGCAGTGTACAAGAAATTGCATGATCTCCATTCTTGGGAGTAAAATGATGCTTACAACCTCAGTTATTCTGTGATTCCATTTAAATTTCCATTTTTTCAGCTTCTTAATTTAGCCCTCTCTGTACTAAAATCAAAGCAAAAATACAAGAAAGCTATTTATTGCTTTTAATTTGCTCCATGTCTTCCTTTAGGGCTATGTAGTCAACTGGCAGAAAATACTGGAAAAGCTATGACACTTATTCCTGACATGTGCTTTCTCTTTTAAATTAGCCAGTCTTTCCTAGTTTTTAGAGAGAAAAAGACAAAAAGAAAATCACAGATGAGCATCTAAAGTGTAAGTTTAGAGCATCTGTAAGTTACATTCCTCTACTATACTATCACGGTAAATATTAACACAGTGCAAGAATAATGTAACCCAAAATCTGCTACATGACCCTCTGCAGTGTTTTAGGATTCTATTTTGAGTCAATCAAATTACAAGGTTTGTTACAAGGAAATAGTCATAACAAGTCTGAAACATTTCAAATCACTCATTATACCCTTCTCAAGAAACAGATACAACATCTGTCATCCTTCAAAGCCTCTGCAGAATATGCAATTGATTTAAAGACTCCCTACATTTTTCAGAAATTGAGATGCTTAATGTTCTAAATCCTTTTGTGTTGAAATCTTTTATGCCTTGCAAAATCTCCATTCCTAAGACACAATCTAATTTATTGGCTAAAAAGAAGTATGAACAGCTCTACCAGATTCCCTGCCCTAAAGAGTAGAGGCTTGCTACTGCCTATGCCCTCAGAATATAGGGTTTATTAATATGGTCAATATTCTTGGCTATAATTGTCCAGGAAATTTTTTTTGCTTGCTTGGGAACACCAAAGTTATTAAAAATGGCACTTGAGTCACCCTGTTGAGAAACTGAGTTCAGACAACATTTAGCCATAAGAATTTATCTGCTCAAAGGACTATGCTACTTCGTCCACCACTGAACAGTCCACAGAGATACAACTGGCACATAAAACCCTCCATCAAAAAAATAACCAGGAGCAAACGTGTTTGCTATAGCGGATTTCCCATGTAAGCTATAAGTTAGATCTCAAATGCAATGAACAACTGAGCCATGCCAAAATAAACGTGAGGCTGACAGAAATGCAAACAAACCATATCTTCACTCCTCTAGACTGAGGCTGTTACTGCATAACAGGAAATAAAATTTTCAATACAAAAGAACTATAGTCTTTTGCTGGGATAAAGTATCACAGACTATTTTTAGGTTCTGAGCTCCTCCTGCATACAGTGATAGGGAGAAAAAAATATTTAACCACAGCATAACTAGCAAGTAAAGAAACAGAGATTCAGACTGCACTGCTCTTCCAGCAGCTGAGATTATTGATGTGAACTTTGGCAGTTTTGGCTTGTCAGCATTTTACTTGGATCTCTGAAGAGAAAACACATGCTTCACATATAATTGGAATGTTTTTAAATTAGGACATTTCTGTTTGCAGCCAAGTTTACTGGAGCGACTAAGAATTTTCAATCAAAAGTTTATCCAGAACAGTCCTTCAAATCCCAAGAACAATCATTCATCAGAGTGTTTCTAGACATTGTGACTCATTGTTGAGAGATTTTCAGAGGATTTCTTACAGCACCATGCCCAATTTCTAAGCTTCTTTTTTCATTTAATCACAAGTAATAGTATGAACTGCATCCCCAAAGTCTGAGGCCAGAACAGTGATCCAACGAGACACACACCAGTTAGGTCAGCAAAGACAAGCTCTTCAGGACTCTGAGGTAATTTCAAAGATAAAAACCAAACAGCCACCCAAGCCCCCTTTTTAACTTAACAGATCAGTTTCAAGTACAGTAACCCACATCTTGGAGTAGAATATTGCTCCATCCTACAGTAAGCAAGATATTAGTGTTGAAGGGTCATTTATTTTTCCCCACAACAGAAGCTCAAGATTATCTCCCTGTGGCCATAGCAAACAGAATGTGTATCACACTTGCAGGGTCATCCACCTGCTCAAACTGGAAAAGCTTTGAGTAGAATTTCCCATAATCCAAAAGTATTTGAAAGCAAAAACAAAACCTCACCCCACTAACAACAAAAGGAACATTCTACTAGATGTCATTTCAAAGCCTACACTGCAGATTAAAAAATATGCATTTACTGAGGACCACTGAAATATTATGCAAGGAATAGTATTTAGTATCTAGGAAAGCAGTTTTTAGCATGACACTGACATTGTCTTACAGCATCAGAGAATGCAATCCACTGTTCGCCTAAATAGAGTCTCCTGGCAGAAGAAGAGTGACAGCAGGCAACTCAGTTATCCACACTTCACATTCAATTCTTACACACAGCAAGTTTGCAACAAAACTTGAATCCAGCAAAAGGGCAAGCATAGTATGATTTTCATTCTAGTGAGTGGAGTCATCAGATGACTGATGTGAGTCATCTTACTGAGTCCTGATGAAATATGGGTTGACATTGACCTTCATTCAGACACTGAGATTTGGAATGCAATGACCTCAGTAGTATAACACTTAAAGAACTTTAAATACTCCACTGTTTTAACTTGGCAGCAATAAACTCTAAAGTTGCATTCCCAACACTCTGCTCTTTGTCTGTAGTAACATCATAAAAAAAGAGCAGTCAGGTAATCCCTTGAGGCAAATGATCCTATAAAAATCAAAGCCAACACACAATTCCATTCCCTATTAGTAAGATGACAGCAATTTAAGTAAGTGACAAAATCAGGTAACAGATCAAGCCTTGAATGAACCAGCAGAGGAAGGTTAAGCAATTAAATAATAAAGTTCTTAAAGTATGCCTGACACTAAAAATAGTGTGCCAAAAATGGCACAAGTACAATTTCATGAGTAACTACATACCTGCTCTCCTTGCCTCGATGCAAGCAACACTCATTTCCTCCTTCAATTCATGGTTTTCATTGGCTATGGCTTCACCCACAGTAACAAATCTCCCAACTGCCAGGTTAACAGCCTGGCCCACTCGCTGGATTGCTTGCAGAGTCTTGTCTGAACGCTTTGGTTTATCCTTATGATTAATAAGAGTAGTTATCTGCAAACAAGAATAATTATTTATCAGAACATTTCAACTTTCATACTAAACGCAAGTTTTGAATTAAACTCAAAAATAGATTTTTACAGTACTTTGCTAATAAAACTTAGTTTTGTGCTGTGTCATGAGGTGTAACTTCGCAGAGAATGAAAAAAAAATTGAAGTGTAATTAAGGTTGCTCATCTGCTCAGTTTATCTCAAATGAAAAGAGAGACTTTTACTTTTATTCCACTCCCATTTGCAGTATTAAAATAAGCTGCTCTGGGTCTCAACAGCCTTTCACATAGCCCTTCCCCCATTAAAATATCCACCATACTCATAACTTAAAACAGACTCAATTACACATTTCCTAGAATTTAGAAAAAGGTTGCTATTTTGATACAAGTTATCAGTAAAACAATTTGTGAGGACATTCGTATTTTGAGCTCCCCAGTTGGCTTTTCTACCAAAAGTAGAAAAGTGCTATACATTCCCTCTCGGATCACAGACTGGTGATCAGCTGCATGCAGGCTACAGGAGACTGAAGATTTGTCCAAAACACCAAACATGAGCAAACAAAGAGATCTTTTTCCCTCACAGAGGAAAAAGGCAGGATTGCAGGAGCAGCTTCTGAACCAAGGCATCAGGTAAACATGAGAACAGTAAGCAACTCACAATTAACTAACTATAAACTTCATTAAAAACCTGAGCTTTACATTTTTTGCTACAATTCTTTTCTAGCGAGAGGCAGGAGAGAAATTAAACTCTGTAGTTTGAAACACCCTAAACCAGCATAAAAACCCAACAAAAACAGTCCTGACTGTCCTTGTCACCCACGCTCATATTTGCAATTAATTTATCTGATGTGGGTAAAACCTCAGTTGTGGAGAAGGTGATGCTTGTTTTAGTTTTCCCCATAATCAGGTCCCCAGCCTGGTTCACTGCATAGCTTCATGAATATTTTTTGGCGGCAAAAGGGAAAGAGTCCAGCCTGAGGAAAGATGGGCAGAAGCACTCCTTTCAGCAGGAGTATAGTTTAAAATGCCCACAGAACTCCACTGTAAGCCACATCCCCAGGAGCTCAAAGATGTCTGTTTAGAGAATCTCAAAATTACATGAATTATTTAAGTGTCTGAACATCTTAGCTATATCAGCTTGATCGCAGATGTCTTTGCCATTCCTCAAAAAGACATAAATCATCATTCACTCATTCACCAGTCAAGCCTGTGGTGGGACAGCATACAAGCTACACCTGTAATGCTCACTACAAATTGAAGGACATAACAGGAAGCAATGTAGGAACTGTTCTGCTTCATTATTTAATCAATGCCTAAGGGTTTAGCCTCCAGATATCCAAGTTGTCTTTCTGGAGGGGAAAAAAAAGTGTTGTTTAACACCGTGCTGAGGCTGGTTTTCAATGCCAGGAGCTGGTTTAGCCAGGTGTTCAATATTAAACTCTGCAATGGGAAATATCAACACTTCATAGAGTGAGTGCTTTGCACACACAAGAAAAATAAAAAAGCCAAAAAACCTGAGAACAGTGCTGTCATGGTTTGACACGGGAAGAGAATTTTTTTTTTGAAGGAAGAGGTCCATCCAGTCAAGGGTCAGGTTTGGATACTGACACTTGGGGTGACCAATTGAAGGTGGACACGCCTCTGAGAACACAGAGGGGTTAAAAGCAGAATTCCCAGGAGGACTCGTCCTTCTTTGGTTCCGGTCATCGCAAGGTACGGACCTCCCCCCCAGCCCGGGCTGGGTGGGGGAGGGGAGCCATGCAGCCTGCAGAGGTAGGCCAGGGGGCGAAGGATCGGAACCGAGCTGGGCCACCTCCTGCGGACGGAAGGGTGGAGAACATCTGAGATGTCTTTGTTCCCCCTCCCCTAAGCCAGAGGGAAAAGAGATAGAGAGCCAGCAGACACCGGAGGAGTTTGCCGGCGGAGGAGAAGGAGAAGGGGCGGGGGGGAAGATGCCCAGCGTGGGAGACTGGAGACGGAGTCCTGGGCTGAGATTGCAGCCGTCCGGGGAGTCCGGGAATTTTAACCCTTTCCTGTGAAATGAAGGCTTTATGAAATATTACTCCTCCTGAATTTAAAGGAAAGAGAGACAGCCTGGGACCTCAGATGTTCAGAGAAGGTTGCGGGGAGATGATGGAGTGGCTTTTGGCTGAACTCTGCTTGTTTACCATAGACTAAACGACTCCTTCTTTCAAGAGGGACTGCATT